GATCAGTGGGGAAAACGAGTCGGGGGTATGAAATTTACTCGATCGGCGGTCGGAAATTTCCCCGGTGCGGCGGCGAGTGGCGGCGGGTGGCGGCGGTCGGCCTCTGGTTCGTCTTCTCCGGCGAGCGGCTGGCGGCTAGGGTTTGTGGTCTGGTGTGGGGGTTCTATTTATAACCCCTTGCCTTTTGATCACAGCCGTTCATTTCGTTTTAATCTGGGCCGTTCGTTTTTGATTGAATCTGGGCCGTCCGTGCGATTGAATCTGGGCCGTCCGATCGCGCCCACGCGGATCGCCAACGTGGCTCCTTTTGGAGTGACGCGATCTTGCCACGTGGCAGGCCCCGGTTGGCCGGGACTGCTGACCGGGCCTGCTGACGTGGCTGCTGACGTGGCCCCCCCCTTTTTTTTTTTTTTTTTTTTTTTTTTTTTTCTTTCCTCCTCCTTTCCGGGTGCTACAACATGTCATATAATTAAATGATAAACGTATATTTTAAATTTATAAAAAAAATTAAAATACTATAGAAAAAATATCCCATATAATATTGTTTTTTTTTATATTACATATCAATTTATTTGTTTGAAAAAAAAAGTTATTAATAAAAAATAATTTAAAAATAAATATATTAGTAATATTTGAAATACTAAAAATAATATATTATGTAAATATTTAAATTTCACAATTATAAACTAAAGGTGTTAAGATAATAAAATATCATTAACGGCTTGTATTTTAATTGAATTGACTAATTTTTATTAATTTTTTATAAATTTTAATTAATTTTGATTAATTTTTCTATACCTATTTAATATATTTATTAAATTATATTCTGTTTTCTGTCGAATTTATTAACAAATCCAATTAAAATATATTACGTCATCAACAGTCACCACGTTACTCAAATGGAATTTCTCGTCATCCTGTAACGGAAAGCTTAGATTCTTCTGAAACTGATCCACATGCGGCCCAAACAGAAAAGAACCCATAAGACACGCCATAATCCAACAAATTCCAGAAGAGTATCTTAATAAATTATTGTGAGATTGAAGGAGGCAAAGCAAGCAAGTTGACATCAAATGATGATCAACGTGATGAACTGCTAAATAATTTGTTGTTTCCCATGCTGACACCAGCACTGTTCTATATTTTCAAAGAATAAAACCCCTCATTTCCAGTACCCAGAATCACTAGATTGTGATTTGATAGCTTATTCTGAAACAAAAATGGCGGATACCAAATGGGTATTTGTCCTTCAAGTCCTGATCGCCGCCGCTTTGGTGGGTACCCATTTGGGCTATGGTGTTCTCGGAGAACCCCTGGCTCAGCAGAAACTGGACAGGGTTCGGGAGCTGCCCGGGCAGAACTTTAACGTGAGCTTTGCGCACTATGCTGGTTATGTTACAGTCAATGAGAAATCAGGGAGAGCTCTCTTTTACTGGTTCTTTGAAGCAGTTGATGATTCTGATTCTAAGCCTCTGATTCTTTGGCTAAATGGAGGTGAAAAGAAACATAACGCTAACTTGTTTGTTTTTTCTAGCTGCTTGTTTGCGATTATACTATCCTGGTTTTGAATTAATGTGGTTAATAGACTTTTATATGCATCCTACATTTTTTTCTTCTACTTTTAATTTACACTTTTTTTTAGTTTGATTTATGTGGATTGTTGTTTGGTTCTTATGTTTGATTAGTTATGTATATTCTTGTTTGGTTTGCTTTTGATATTACTGACAACAGTGATAGTTTTGTAATCCTATGTTTGGTTAACACTTCTGGGAATATGGTGAATTATATGTGAGTTTTTTATTAACTGCTTCAAGCAAAACTTTCATTGACTTTATTATGGGGCTTGTGTTTAACTTGATTTGTGGTGGTGGAAATAAACAGTTTGTTTAATTTACATTTGGTAAATTGCAATAATGGAGGTTTATTTCTTTAGGGCCTGGATGCTCATCCATTGCTTATGGAGAAGCAGAAGAGATAGGCCCATTTCATATTTTGCCAGATGGGAAGACTCTTTACTTGAATCCTTATTCTTGGAACAGAGGTGAGAAATAATCATATAAACTACAAGTATATCTCCATAGATCTCTTCAAATGAAATAAATGTTTGCTTGGACTATTTTGTTGGGAAAAGTAACGATATAGAAACTTTTTTCCCTTCCAAGTTGATTGAAATCAGTTTCACGATTGAATATTAAACTTCTTCTTAGGAGTAGAAAGAAAGAGAGATATAGAGGCATATCTGCTAAGTTCTAGGATGAGAATTAGATTCCTTATTTTGGTGGGAGGGGACTGCTGTCAAAATATTTTGCACGTGGTGCAGGCATAATTGAGTGATGAATCAATTTCTTTTCTTGTTAAACTTTGGCATAGAGTTAGGCTCAGTGAGTCCATTGTTCCTCAGTAGCTCACTAGTACCATATACACATGTATGGAAACAAATAAATATCTCTACATATATTTGTATAGACACACACGTACTTATGTATGTAAATAAGATGTAGTATATACATTTGCACGTGTAGTTTATATTTCTAACTACTTTTACAACTTTGCAGTTGCCAATATTTTGTTTCTCGACTCACCAGTTGGAGTTGGTTTTTCATATTCTAATACATCATCTGATTTGATGAATAATGGTGATAGGAGGACAGGTAATATTTCAGCTAATCACTTTCAGTAGTCTTCATTTTGTGTAGATGTAAATATCACTGTTTGATACTTGGATTGCAGCTAAGGACTCACTTAGATTTTTGCTGAATTGGTTTGAGCGCTTCCCCCAGTACAAGGGAAGGGACTTTTACATTGCGGGAGAAAGCTATGCAGGTAGATGATGTTTTATCATTGGTATTTTTTAATTCAGCAAGGCCATTCGAATTCTTAGGTGAATAAAGTAGATTAAAATAGGAGATTGCCCATATAATGACCCTATGTCTGTAACATATGGATTTCTAAGAGTCATATATAGATGGAATTATGTTACCAGTGAATTGGTATGGTGCTTTCCCTAGAGTAATTTGGACTGAATAGTTAAATGGCCTTATTGACTTATTTGAAAGAGGTATGAGTTAACTAGGTCACAGGAGATCAGAAACACAGTGCTAAGTTGCTGTGCAATCCCTTTGGCTTTGACAAAAGATATTCACACCCTTTAAGCTTTTACTTTAGTTCTTCTTTCTATGATTTTTGTGATGGCTTTGTGGGTTTTCACTCTATGGTTTTCACATCAAGGCATGTGTCTCAGGGCATTATGTTCCTCAGATCAGTCAAGCCATTGTGTGGCATAACCGAGCCAGTCATGGAAAGCCAATTAATCTGAAGGGCTATATGGTGATTCATTTCTCCTAGTGCCTGTTATTGCTAATTCTGCACTTCTTTAAAGAGACTAAAAGCCTGGATGGATTTGTTGTGCAGGTGGGCAATGCCCTAACTGATGATTACCATGACCACTTAGGAATATTCCAGTTCATGTGGTCTGTGGGTTTGATATCTAGTCAAACATATAAGCTACTAAACCTTCACTGTGATTTCGATTCATTTATTCACTCCTCCAGTTCTTGTGATAACACTCTTGAAATTGCTGCAAAAGAATATGGAAATATTGACCTATATAGCATCTTCACACCACCATGCCCGCAGAGTGTCACCCAATCAAATCAGCTTCTAAAGAGAATGCGTGTGAGTACAGTATACTTCATTTGAAATTCTTTTTCCTTGTTGCTACTCAAGATTTTATATATAATCAAAGTTTACACGATTTACACAATGTACAGACATCTTCAAAATCAGTAAATCCGACTGACTTCTTATTGTTATAGCTTTTTGCAATTTGTATATATATAACCATCTTGATTCAGGCCCTGTTAGTCACATATGCTGGAGTTGTGATTGTACTGCTAACAACTGAAGCTACTTCTTAGTGTAGTGCTTGTGGAATTATGTTAGAAGCTACTTTAGTGCCTGTCCGATAAAATTTCCCCATGATAAAGCTTGGCAGAGTCTGAAGTTAGAAGCTACGTTCAATAGACTGCCTTCTGAAAGTTTGGTGGAACTGTTACCTAGCTTTTATCTACATTACTGATGGAATGTTCATATTGTAGATGGCTGGTCGAGTGAACCAGAAGTATGATCCTTGCACTGAGAGGCATTCTGAAGTGTACTTCAATCAGCCTGAAGTTCAAAAAGCACTCCATGTTATTCCAGACGTTGCTCCATCCAAGTGGGAGACATGCAGGTATTGTTTCATGTGGAAATTCCAAAGACACTAACTAGCAACATGTGATTTAAAATAGTAAGTTTATAACATAAGAAGAAAAATGTAATACAAATAGGATAAAGTTGAAACAAGAATAATATTCTAATTATATTTTCAAGTCAAGTCATTTAAGATCTTTTGATTCCGAATTAATTAAGAAGGTGTTTGAGATTGTTTAATTATGTTTATAAGTAGTTTTAGGCATTTTGTTTCAATTTCTCCATTGGGTAAAATAAAAAATAGGATGCTTGTTAGGTGCTTAAAAATGGATTTAAGAAGGTAAAAATGACGCATTTCATTTCTAACTTTTAGGGTCGAATTTTCTTTATTTAACCAATTGAGTTAACTACTCTCGCCATATTCACTTAAAATCAATAATAGATATAGCAAGATAAATTATAAAAATATTTGTAATAAATACATATTTTTATTATCTTTTGTATTATTTGTTTACAAATAAGAGTTTTATACAAATGCGGAGGTGATTATTTCTTAAATAAGAATTTGCTTTAAGGAACATAAAGCACCCTACAGCTTTTTAAATGTTGAATTCAAATGCTGCCTCAGTTCATATATATATATATATATATATATATAATTCATTCAAAATGTTTCCATGCATTAATCCCTTCTGTATAAAAGTCAGATCAATATATTGAAGTAAACTTGAACATTATGGAAGGAATTTTTTCTTTGGGAAGTTGAACTGATAGGTCCTGTGAGAACTGTAGTATGGATACTTCATACTTCATGCTACATTTTGCTATTTATGTTCTTCCAACTATTTTCTGTTACGATATTATTTTATACGATTTGATTAGTCCTAATGAAATTCTAACCTTCTTGCTATTAACAGTGATTTGGTAAATACTAACTGGAAGGATTCGCCTTCAACAGTGCTGGACATCTATCGTGAGCTTATTCATTCGGGACTTCGGATATGGGTTTTCAGGTTTGTTTTTGAATCAACCATAGTTCATTTGCTGCGAATACCTTTAGTTTTACATGTAGGTATCAATGACCTTTCACTTCTACAACAGGAAGAAAATATGATAGCATGGCTTATATAAGCTCGGAAAAAATGAATTTCTTTAAAAGAAATGCAAATTCATTTAGGAATCCTGATTTTTATATTTGTAAATCATTACACTTGATGGAATGGGATTCATTTCTTTTGAAATAAATTCTTTAAGAAACTTGAACAAGTACATTTTAAATCTTATCATATTTGACCGAATTTAGAAAGGCTAAAATAATGATTTGATCTTTATACTATTAATTTTTGTCCTAATTAGTATTCACTTAAATTGATTTTCGTACTTTTCAAAATTTTTTGATCTAATCCTCCTCTTTATCCATTTGTTAATGTAGACGCCACATGTTAAATTTGGCGATGATTAACCTGTGTTTCAGGTTAATAACACATGACACTTCAAAAAAAATTAGAAGTAGACAAACCGGTCCATAAAAAAAAAAAGGATATCTGGTTAAAGAAAAACAATAATTTGCACGCTTCTTTTTCTTGCTTCCTTCTTAGAGAACAATGAATTCATTTACTAATAATCCTACTTATGCTTTTTTTTTTTCTGTCCAACAGTGGCGATACTGATGCTGTTATCCCAATTACATCCACTCGATACACTATAGATGCTCTTAAGCTTCCGGCTATGAGTCCTTGGCGTGCTTGGTATGATGATGGACAGGTAAATTAGTTCGTTTTGGCATGTTTACCATTCTTCCTTTTTTATTGATTTGTTGATTCAAGATGACTTCTTTTTCTTACAATCAATTCGTATTCTGTAAAGTTAAAGTTTGAAGTACATTCAAAGTTTACATTCTTCAATTCCTCTCTGTCCAGCTTAAATTTTTAGATAAACAATCTGTCTATATTCCTGGATTGGAAGTAAATTCCCCAAAAAACTTAAACATATATTCCGATGTAACAGGTGGGAGGCTGGACTCAGGAGTACGCCGGACTGACCTTTGCTTCCGTGAGAGGAGCAGGCCATGAAGTACCTCTGCATAAACCTAAATTGGCTCTGAAACTTGTTACATCATTCTTATCTGGAACCTCATTGCCAACTCCTGAACAAGTTAGTGTCATTTGAAGTTTCCTCTGATTCAAATGATGCAAGAGGAATCAAAAGATTTCTCGATTTTTGACTTGGGAATCCGAAGATTTTCTCGGAAGTTATTTGCTGTCGGGCTGAGTTGATTTGTTTTTAGAACACATAAAGATTTTCTCAGAATCATTGTTGGGAAATGCATTGCTGCTTGAGTTCAGAAGTATTATATGAAATTCATGGGAAATGTTAGAATTTGTAAGGATCTATCAGATTTTGAATTACCATTTTTTGTCTGCTTCATTTTCTTTTATTATCAATTTCTTTTACCCTTTTTGCTATTCAATGCGTATAATTTAATTTTTTCGGACTATATAAATTCGAGGATCTAACTGCCTCGAGACGATAACGTATTGAAATTTGTTTAATTTATTATGTAAGTCAATGAAATATTTATCTTTAAAAAATAAAATATCGTGGATTTAATTGCAATAACTAAAGGTTTCTTAACCTAATTGAGAAATTAGTGAACGACGATGAATTATTTTTGCAATTATACTATCTTAGATTTTTTTAAAATTTTAATGTAATTATATATATCGTTCTAATTTTACAATTTTTAAAATTTTTTAATATCTCCCATTTAAATTATACAGTTTTTAAATAATTTTTTTAAAATATTATTTTCTTTCCAAAAAATAACCTTAAGAAATAAAAATTAGTTTTGGACGATTTTATATTAATGTATTTTAATGATATATTTTTATTTAGATGATATGATTATATTTTTAATTAAATTATTAATTTATCATTACATATTATATATAATAGTAAATGATATAAAAAAAAGATGTAAGAAAAAAAATATTTATCAATATAATTATATTTATATTTAAATAAATAATTATTATATATAATTAAATTAAAATTTTATATTTAATAAAATAAATAATAATTATTTATATTATTACATTAATTAATGAATTTTTTATTATCAATTTATATATAGAATTAATTAAATTAGATGAGGTATAATGAAAAACAAATAGAATGCCCACCAAATACTACAAATTTAGTGGTTTAAAATTTTAAGACAAAATTTGTCAGTCAAATACTATTTGTTAACATTATAAGTTGAAACAAATATAATTTTTTCACCTCCGTAAAATAATATACATTAAAATTTTACTATTTATCATGATCCAAAAAAAAAGTTAATGTAATTTATTTATCATAAGCCATGTATTATATATAAGGAGTAAATTATGGACTTCAAAGGGGAAAGGCCCATTGCGGCTTTGCTCTTCTCACTGCTTACAGCACCTAATTTTGAGGCTTCCTCAGCCTCCATTTTCGATCTCGACAAGGTCTCCGTCTACTCCGCCTCTTCTACTTGCGGCAACCAAGGCATCCAGGTTTTTTTTTTTTTATACGCTTCTGTACATGTTAAAAATGTATAAGCTTATATCTTTTTTTTTTTTTAATTCTGTTTTTGGTTTTGTTGAATATATTTGAAATTCTGTCAAGTAGTGAAGAAATATATGCTTTTGAGAACATTCAGTTGCCAAAGGTACCAGTTTTATAGATTATGAATTGGCATTTTGGTGGTTTGCGAGAGAACAAACGAGAAAAGGGAATGGCATGGAGTTTTGTTCTAGAGAGAAAAAAAATGGCACGCGTTGTGTTAAGCGGTTTTGGTCCTGTAGTTTCGTTGATGTATATTTAAATTGGCTGTGCTGTTTTGTAATTTTATACTGCAGATTGTATTTTCTCTGTGCTTAGGTGTGATAATTTTCTTGTCGCTTGGTACGAGACATTGTTAATTAGCCTGTTGTTAAGCTGGCTTGATTTAGATGGAGTATCTTGTGCGTGAAGGGTGTGAATTTGATCATGTTATGCGAGTTAAGTGAAACTAAATTAGAGATGTATATTACCTGTTTGATGACTGTTCTCTACCAGAGTGCTTTTTTTTTTTCTTTTTTTTTTTTTCTCTCTTCTCTATAGCTTTTGGGAATTGCTTTCAATTAGAGCAATGACCTTTTCTGCTATTCCGTTTACCCAAGGATGAATTTTCACAAGATGCTTGATAGGTTCCTTTGTTGTTTCCATTATGTATTATTCTTACCGTAACTTCAGCTCCTTTCGGCTTTTAGCTTTGAGCTCATACACAATTTTTTTTTTCATTCCTCTCCCTAGTAATATCTGTCTCTCTTTTTCTTTTCTTTAAAAAAGAGTTCAAATCTCCCTTTTATTTCCTTGTTATGAGTTTTTTTTTTCTTTGACAAATCACCTTTTCTATATCATTGTGTTTTGTGATACTTTGTTTGGTTATTTTTTATTTCATCCCCCATACATTTGTGGGTGATTTATTGGTTGGATAGTATCTTTATTATCCCATTATGAATAGTTTGCATACTTTATACCATACAAGAATGTGCTGCGACATCATGGAATATGAATTGATTATTTATCAATTATCTAACCTCAATAAAAGATTTTCCAAGTGCGTGAAACATATATTTCAGTCGTCAGAAAAGCTCTTGGTTCATGGAATTTTGAATTAGATTCTCGCATCATTTATTTCTATTGGATGAATAATCTAAATTGCAGCATGTTTGAGAATTTGAATTATTCATAAATTTGAGGATTTATACTTTTAACTTAATATAGTACTCTTCTTGTGTGCATACATAAACTTGCTTAGTGAAACCACATTCATGTTTACAGATTTGGTAGCCATTTGTAGCGCTATTTTGGGAAGTGCAGGTTTTGCTATTTCACAAATAACTATCACATATGACATGTGAAGTGCTGCTATCTCAAAGATATTTTACATGTTGTGGTCTAATTCTTGAAAGCAACATGATAAAGTGTCTTGAAAAAGTACTCGTAAAGAGTATTAAAAGTCCATTATTTTCCATTATTTTCTTTACTCTACCCTTTCAATTCTGTTGATTTTATTGAATAATAAAGAAATGAATATTTGAGATGTAGGGAAATCAGAGGGAAAAAAGGCTGACAACCATGGTGGTCGCTAGTAGTAATCCTCATAATAGGGAAATGAGCATCAGGAGGAGAATCAGTGAGATGTATTTCTCCCTTACTTTCTCTCTCTCTCTCTCTCTCTCCCTCTCTCTCTTCCTCTCTAAGATTATGCCTGTGCCTGCATGTGTGCGAGTTTTTCTGCATGTTCTTTTTCTGTGTTTGTACAAGCAGATTCTGTGCTACTCCAAGATTGTAGCTAACACCCGCAAAGATGGGAAGAATGTGGTTAAGCACACACATTCAATATAAGTTTGAGAATACCGTAAACCTGGTAGCCTGGTAACTTTTTCCTTTAGGTTTGTATGAATGTGCTCCCATAGCAAATGATTCTTATGTGCCAGACCTGAGCCAGTGCTCTTGTTAATGGTGGATGAATCTTATTTTTTTTTACTAACAAGATTATTCAGGAAGTTCTTTTTTTATTCTATGTAATTTATGGGAATTTGCATTTCCTAGATTGTCTTGGTTTTCTGGCTGATTTTAACACGAGAAATAGTTTGGTACTCATCATTCTAGATTGAGATGCTGTCTTGTTCACGTAAGATCATTCAGCAATGAGTTTGTTATATGAGAAACCAATTCATACTAGGTGGGATAAATCTCCGTTCTTATATAAAGATATTAAATTTGAGTGTTTAACGATTCAAAATGAAGAATCTTTGTTGTTTCAACAAATGAATAAACTGATTTTTACATTTTATAATAATAAATGGAAGAGAAATTAAAAAGTATTTTATAACTTTCTCAACATTGTCCTGGAATCTGTAATTTTGCAGTAACATTATGTTATTATTATGCTGCAAATTATTGTTAGCCAGCATAAACGTTATAGTGCAATTGAATATTACTAGTCCTGATACCTTCATTTTTTTGGCATTATATTAACTATTTGCTTTTCTGTGACTATTTCTCTATATTTTAGTTTCAACAAACGAGAGGAGGATTTTGCATCCTTACGCGAATACAACGATTACTTGGAAGAAGTGGAGGATATGGGTAGGTTTTACAAATTTTTCTCACTCCTTAGCCACTTTAGCTCATTGATCGAGCAACTGCTTGTTGTTTACAGTATTTAACTTGATAGAAGGAATAGATGTTGAAGCTATTGAAGAGAAAATTAAGGATTATTCTCAAGAGAATGCCGAGCAAATAATGATTAATCGAGCTCGAAAGGTACTCTAGACAGCATAATCTGCTTTTTCTTAACTCCTTTCCCTCTATGCTGCTTATGATTGGTTGGGCTTAAAGTTTTGTGTATATCCTGCAATTTAGTGACACTCCTATCAGCATTTATTGATTTCAGTTCTTTGCTGGGCAGTTGTTAATTCATTTTAATATCAATAAAACAGGCTGAAGAATTAGCTGCAGCCATGGCAGCAAGCAAAGCATGTCCTGTACAAGCAGATAACGACGGGGTAAGATGATTTGGTTTAATTTCTTAATTTTTTTCCTCGAGTCTATTGTGATGGTTCACTATTTTCAGAACCTAGTGAATTGAGTTTTGCTTTTTTATCAAGTTTGCAGTTTAATCTATTAGTTTATTTTGATATTTAGATTAGTAGAATGAGTCCCTTCTTTTGATCCTATCGCGTGCAATTTCATAACTAAAGGCTAGCTTAAAGGAGAAGACACATGTGGTTCAGTGATAGAAAATCTTTGAGGAATGAGGATGTCCCAGTAAGGATAGTATATGTTGGGCTCTTATCAACTTGGCACTAAGATACGAAAGTAGGGAACCAAGAAAATTATAGAAGATGTCATCTACATAAGAAAGAAAAAGAAGAGGAAAAGTGTAAAACACTCGCTCTAATCTATATGCAGTTCATTTCTTTGGTCCACTTCATAGTGCTGCTACATGTTGACCTGTTTATGGGTATAGAGCACTATAAAAATGAATGATACAGGATGAGTTATGGTAACATGAGAAAAATTAGAGTTAAGAAATGACTTTATTCTGTTGTTTTTAGAAAGGCAACGAATTCATTTGTCAAAAAGTGAAAATAGAAAGGTGGTTTGAAGTCTTGGTACAGTTCACTCTAGAGTGACAGGGGCATACATGGGAAGATTAGGGTTTAGGTAACTAAAGTCTGTTTCTTTTAGAAAAAAATTGCTGTAGGTATAATCAGACGTAGCTTTTTATTGGGGAAATTTTGGACAGGAAATCATCTAAAATGGCAGTTTTTTGGGCAAGGGGATAGATCCTTTTATAGTGTGGGATAGGATCCATGCACTTGAGCTCTGACTATTAAGCCTTGAAATAGCTTAATAGCAGCTATTTCTTTTGACAGTCATTTTTTCCTTCCTAGCTATTACACACTCCACTGATTGAATTATCTCAGCAAACTTATTCAGTCTTTTCTCAGTAGGGTGCAAACCAGACCTCCCAGGCTGGGTTTAATTCTGGTATGCAAGGTCAATATGCCCCTACAGTTCCTGGAGGACAGCCCCGGCCAACAGGCATGGGCCCTCAACCCTTGCCGCTTGGAGGTGGACTGGATCACCAAGGTAATTATGCTATTGATGATGAGGAAATGATGAGGCTTCGAGCAGAGAGGGGTGGACGGGCAGGGGGATGGACAGCAGAGTTAAGCAAGAGGAGAGCACTCGAAGAAGCATTTGGGAGCATTTGGATTTGACTTATGGGTTAGATGCCTGTGATTTTACTGTCAAAATTCTTGGAAATGTTGTTCCTTGCTGGAGGAAAAATTATTACTTCCTATCAAATTTAACGCTATTTATAGTTCCAACACTTTGGAGTATAGAAATGTATTTTTATTTATAGTGAATTGTTTATAGATATTAGGTCGCCAAAACTGATTTTTACGTGATGTAAATGATAAGAACTGTTAAGTTTTGTAGAATTATAATTTATCGAGTGTCATTGAACTTCTGTTCTTTACTTGTCGGAGTTTGGATGTAACCCATTTCAGGGACTTTGAAAATCATTCAAGGATTCTTTTGTATTGGCATTGACAACAATTTTTGCTTCTCTTACTACCATAACAATAATTTATTGATCTTTTGAAATAAATATATGATTTTTTAAAAATGCAATTATTAATTTTACTCAATTTACATATATATATATATATTTTAAAATTAAACTTTTTTCAAAATTAAATATTAGAATATTTTGGTTTTGCAAAGTGATATTCATTTAACAATCCTCTAAAATTTACTCTTTCAGCCACTTAAATTTCATATTTATAAACTAAATTTAATTACTCAAATATTTTTAAAACTATAATCATTAATATTAA